GGGGTTAGGGGTTGGGGGATGAGGGGGTGTTATCTCGGCGGGTTGGCCTCACTTGCTGCTGCTGGCCACGCGCCTTAACCCCCCTCGGCTTCCCCTTCACATTCCCCCGCGCGGCGCTCTTTGCACCCAACCGTGGCGCTGCCTCTTGCTCCCAGTATAACACGCTCCGGCGCGTCCCCATACGGCCCCCGAGTGGAAGGGGTCGAAGGGGCCCGGCCGACGGGCCGACGGGCCGGCGCCCAGTCTCAGTAGTAGTACGGGTCCAGCACGGCCTCCTACTTATCTGGGCGAGCGAATCATCCAGGCGTGGCAAGCGGGAGCGGGGTCGCGGGTTGGCAGAAAGGGTGGGAAAGGGGGGGGGGGGAAAGTCGCGGGGTCGCAGGCGAAGGGGCTGATAATAGGAAAGGGAGAACAGCAGAAGGTTGGCCGGTGGCGACTATACGGCAGTAGGCTGGGCTGTAGAAAGGGTGCGATCAATAGGGCACTGTTGATTATTTAACCCTGTGTTTTTTAAAATCCTCTTTTGGTGTACGTACTACAGTGGTTTTGAAAATTTGGACTCATTGGATCGTATTAATCGTCTCATCTATTCTTTGGTAACATAACACCACCCCTCGTGTCAGCCCCAGGCCCCAGCCATAGCACAACTCTCGAAATACAATCAGACTCGCCGCTTTTAAACACTTCCTCTTTTCTTTGATCACCCGGAGCCTGTAAAGCTGTAAAGTTAGTGACGACCGGCGGCGAGGGGCGTGGGGAAGGGGAGGGGGCCCTTAGCGGTTCGCTCGCCCCTCGCCCCCTGGCGCCGAGCAGAGCTACTACCCAGACCCTCCGCACCGCTGCAACATCTGTATCTACCTGACGCAAGCCGGAAGACGTTTTCAAACTTTCAAACATTTGCCGTGAGTTCCGTTCTCTTTCAATTTAGAGACTTCGGTGAATAATTTGCTTCTCTCTCTTCGGACCTACTTGAAAAGATTTGACTCCTGAAGTTTCAACACGGAGGTCGGCTTGTCCTACATAACCTCAACGTTCTGCTGGAAAATGAATCTGTTGCAGTGTACGAGGTTAGTTTCAACCAAACAACGTTTTTATCGACATGTTTTTACGCTATATTCTAGTAAAGGTTTCGATGCTTTTGGTTTTGGTGATTCGGGTATCTTCAGGTGGACACTCTCCGAGATGTCCAGGTACTCCATGTGTCCAGGCTAGGTTATGTTTCATTTAAAATGAGAGTATACGCCCTTCTTGAATGAAATCCGTACCTTAGTTTTTCGCTTGATAATGATTTTAGTGTACTTTTCGAGTTATTGAGTTATAATTCCACTTTGACGTTAGTCTCTACCCGTTACGAGCGTCAAAGATTTGCAGACGTCAGTTTGTCGTAAATAAGATGTGGCTGCAGGTGGACTTGAAAAGCAAGTACTTGGTGGCGCCGAAGTGAGAAAAGACATAACAAAATGATATCATAACGGCGTCGGAACGATTCTCTTTCAATTTCGTTTTGACGGCAATTTTTCACGAGGTACCATTTCTTGTTCTCGTTTTTCCGGCAAGGGCAAGGTATGAGATTGCGATGGGGGCCCTTTGCAAAAAGAGGTGCAAAGCTTCGACTCGTTGACGAATGCGTTACACGAATGCGGTACGTACTCAACCGCAGACGCAGACCGCACAGAACATTGGGAGTGCACCCTGTGCTTTCAGGCTTTCAGCTTGTCGTGTGGCTGGTGGTGTAGGGTGTATGTAGGCAGGGTGGCGCTTGCACGCCCGCCGCCTGCGGGCATGCGATAGCTGACGGGGAGAAGCGCAACATTGTCAGCAGTGGTGGTGGGTTGCGCTGCTAGGGGAAAGGATGGAGCCGAGACGGGATGCCAGGCAAATAAAAGAGAAGCACTGCGACATGTATGTGTATACACCGCCTGTCTTTTTCCTCCCCCGCCTCCCCTCCCACCCTCCCCCGGAGCCTTACCCTTATGCGTTCCTCTCCCTCGCTCTCTGGCGACTGGAACTCCTGGAACTGGGAGGAGCTACTCCCTGCCTTTGCGCCATCAGTCACCATCGGACCCTGTGACGTCGCACACGGAGATGTGTGCACGTCCTTTGTCGTTTTTCCCTCGAAGCCCCCCACCCCCTCTACCCTCCCGCATTGCTCTGTCGTCGGCGAATGCTGTGCTACTACTCTTCTGAAGTTTGTGTTTGTTCGATCTGGGGTACTGACGGGCGGCGGAGGGTTGAGTAGGGCGGCGTGGCGGGGCCGAGGAAGGCGCGCTGCAAGGAACTTGCGAATTACATGGCGAGTGACTGCGGCTGGAGCCGGGCTCGCCGGGAGGGCAGGCCGCCCCGCACAACAGGTGTGCGGGGCGGGCCGGCCTGGCCACCGGCGCACCGCCGCCACTCTGGAGAGAGCTCCTGGAGGGAGCGAGAGAGAGTCGGTTGGGTCTTCACTTTCCTCTGTTCTGGTTTCAGGGCCGCCGGCGATGTACCGACAGAACCGACGGCCTGCCCAGCGTCAGGTAAGTTGCTCCCCCGTCCGTCAATTCCCTGTCGGTATGATATGATCTCGTCGGTCTCGGAAGCGCCTGCAGCGAGCGGGGTGGGCAACACTGCCAGACGCCCGTGTAGGCCGGGCTGGCCCATGTACGCGGGCGCTCTGGCCTCCACCAGTCCGCTCCGCCAGTGCTGCGCACGGGTCGAGGCACGTACTGCGTATCGGCGCACCCGGCCGGAGTACCCGCAGCCGCCCCGGGACGAGCCCCAGACCGTAAACAGAGAGAGTCTCTTTAACCCCCTCCTTAACGCTCTAATTTGCCCGGTCGTCGTAAACGCGCAGATCGCACGCGCTCGCGCCAGAGGCCCGAATGACGCTTTGTTTTCCCGAAGTCTGCCTGCTTAGAATCGTTTATTTAGTCAGGGTGCGGGTGGTGGGCCTGGGAACCGGCGGCAGCCGGGGCCCCACGTACCGATTTGCGAACCGCCTGGTGCTTATTGGTTATTTGCACTAGAGCGTCTAGCTTGCACGGAATTTGGTGCGGGGAAATGGGAAAAGTTCTAGAAGGAAGAGGAAAAATATTCGGTACAACCTCAGTGGTTCGAAAAGGTTTTAAAAATGTCATTGAGATAGTGACTACTAAAGTG